GCAGAATATTACAAGCCGTGTCTTGCAGAACCAGCTCAAAAGCGTCGTAAATCGGCAACGGGTATGATAAAGGTCAATGGCGAAGAAGTAAAACAGTATGGTTCGGAGCTTACGGTGTACGATAAGCACAATCGATGCCTGTTGACGGACGGCGAGTATGAGTTAGGTTTACAGGAAGTACAGACCAATGTTAGGTCCAGTCCTAAGAAACACAGCTCTTGGGAAACTGTGGCCGACATCAAAGACTGCGAACCGTTCGACATGTTCAGGCAAGGACCGACGTTAAAGTTTCGGCTCAGTTGGACGACGGAACCGAGCAACGGTCTGGTGGATAGACCGATGCCGATACCTCAGATACCGAATGGTGACAATAAAGAGAATCGATCGGCCAATGGTTAGCTCTCATAGTTATTTTACGAACGAAACTACTGCAATATATGTACTCAGTCACACACAAATGTCGCTTTAACGTTTTTTTCAGCTGGTTTTGAACGTTCCTCTTCCGTAAATCACAATAACAATAGCACAAATAATAATAATAATAATAACGCGACACTGCCAACGCCTAGTCCGTTAACGCCCTCGTCGAGAATAAGCATCTCCAACGAGAAAGTGGACGCTAATGCTAACGGAACACAGCAGATAGTCTATCAATTTTTGTACAACAATAACAGCCGGCAGCAAACGGAGGCCTGCGAAGACCTACACTGCCCCTGGTGTTCGTTGGATTGCGGCAAACTGTACTCGCTTCTAAAGCACTTGAAATTGTGTCATTCACGATTCACATTCACATACGTGGTAAGTGTGCATCACATTTTTACATTATTTATATGTAGTACAATTTTATACATTTACGCACACAATTTACATAAAATTGCTTTTTTACTTAAAAAATAATTCAATTTAAAGGAAAATTAAATGTACAGAAATGGGGAAAAGCTATTTTTTAGCTTGATAGGAATTTATTGATTAATCAAATAATAATACCTCGTGCAGTAAAAAAAAATATATTAACATAATCAAATGACATTTTTATCATTTTTGTTTTATAACTTTTTAACCTTCTTTTTAATTTTGATATTTTTTTATGAAGTTAAATTAGTTTACTTTTGAGCAATGTTAATTTAACTCATTCGTAATAACAACTTGAAAATTACGTTTTTTGAATTGTATCACTTTTGAAATAAAGGAGAGATATATCACACACGCGCGCGCACACACACACACACACACACACACACACACAATGAAAAGTATTGTACATATATTTTTGAATATTTTCAGGAAATGATTTTTCGTTCTACTTTATCAGATACTTTAATAAATATTTATAAATGTTTCTTAGATAATATAGTCGCAACTTCTAAACAATCTACAAAACTTTTATATATTTATATATATATATATATATATATTTGGATTCTATGTTTTTTAAAGGAAATCTCATGGATATAAATAATATTGATATTCCTAAAAGATTTTGCAGCCACAATACTTTTTATTGATGTTATTGATATATAACAACGCGTTTAAAAAGAAACAAGCAATTGATTTGATCGGATAAAATAAAAAGACATCCTCTTCATGCTATGATGCTAATTGAGTGTAAATGTTTTTTTCTTCCAGCCAATTCCACAAGGTGCCCGAATTGATGTAGCAATAAACGAATGCTATGATGGTTCGTATGCAGGTAGTCCTCATGAATTAATTTCACAACCGTCTAGTATACCTTTTTCAAGGACAGGACCAACCAGACGTACAAGCGTAACGAATATCCTGGTGTGCCGTCCGAAAAGAACAAAACCAAGTCTGTCCGAGTTTCTGGAACTTGACGAGAATGAGTTTGAAAGTCAGAGGCCTTATATCACCGGCCACAATAGGTAAGCGTCATGGTATAAGTCACGATAAGTAGTATAAATAATCTTTTGCATTTACACATTATAACTGGACATGTTCTCTTAGACTGTATCATCATACTGTGACCTGCCTGCCTATATACCCCAAAGAGATGGATATCGATTCCGAGGGTGAGAATGATCCTAAGTGGCTGCAAACAAAGACAATGATGATGATCGATGACTTTACGGATGTGAACGAGGGCGAAAAAGAGTTAATGAAAATGTGGAACCTGCATGTGATGAAGCATGGATATGTGGGAGACTGCCAGATACCACTAGCTTGCCAAATGTTCTTAGAGAATAAGGGGAAGGAGTTGCTCATGAAGAACCTCTATCGCAACTTCGTATTGCATATGTGCAGTCTGTTTGATTTTGGGCTAATCAGTCCGGTGATATTATATCAGACTATACAAAAGTTGCAAGAAATCATGAAGGAAGGCGGTGAGGACGGGGACGTACGTAAAGTACTGCAAAAATCACACGAGGCTCAAGTGGAGCATTGGAAGACTACAAGTGCACATACACAAATGCATGACGGATCTAAAGCCGCCGGTTTGACGAGTGGTGTTAAGCTCAATTTCGGCAATGACGGTTCCTCGAGCACGTCGTCGAATGCCAGGCGAAAAACGACAACTGCCTCCATGCCGTTGGGCTCGCCCAACTCGCAAAACGTCAAGAACGCGATGCATAACAATATGCACAACGTCAGTACGTAAGCGTAGAATTCGTTATCGTTGTCGAGGAGCAAGACTGTCATTCACAATAGTTCGATGCAGAATTCCGTTGTCGGTACGAATCCCACTCTTCTATCATTCTCTGGTGATCTCTCCGACGCGGAGCATCGTAAGCAAGATTGCGCCCAACGTTGTGTCCAATTAGAAGGTACAAGTACGTCATCAAGTAGGCGGTCGAACGATCTATCGGCAAAAGTACAAACTGTAGTGCAAGTGACAAGAAGTAGCAGCGCGACGCGTTCCCGCTGCGCCGGATGCTCGATACAAGCCGGCGAGAATGTTAGTACTATCGAATACCACCAGCGAAAATTAGTCCTGGACGTGATACTGGCGACGAACAACAATAGCCGCATCGCCGCATCCGCTAGCCAGAAACCGTCCTCGAACGGAGGTAGCTTCCAGTAGCTACTTATCAATAGTAGTAAGATCGATTTTGCGCGTTTTTAATGCAAATTGCATCTTCTTTTTTGTACAGTATTTGTTGCAAGTAATATAAATTATGCAATTGACATTATTAAATAAACTGGATAATTATTGTTTTAGCTATTAGATCGATTTTTGAGATTTAATTTAAAAATTATGAGAATAATTATAAATTGAGAAAAGAGAGATAAATAGCATAAAGAGGATATTAATGAACGATTTTATTCTGCTCGCCTCTGTGTCGATGATATCGATCGCGAACAATAAAACACGATACAAACATGCTAATTTTATCATGCTTATTCTTCATTTTTTTTCTAGTCAGTGGCGTTTTTATTAATTATTTCACCTTTTTTTAAAGCTTCTATTTTACGTAATATTCCAATAAGTTCTGGTATATCTGCATAATCGATTTGTAAAATTCATAGTGATTTAGAAGCAGCTATTCCAGAATTAACGCGTGATTTTACATTATAATAGAAAAGCAGAGAACAAATGATATCAAGCTTTAAAAATTAATTTCTGAAGATGACTTTGGCATGATGAAAGTGTGGAAACGAATTTCTAGTTCTACGGTCTCCTTGCGAAGTAACTCGCAATCCTGGAACGTCTTTCGACATCTAACAATTTATTCTTTTATATAGCGAAGCGCATATTTCACAAGCGAATTGATCTCGTAGCTGAACTTTATGAACTTTTTATCGTTCTGAATTTAATCATTTTCGGGAATATGCTGAGTGGTGAAAAAATGCTACGGTTTAAATGGTTACAATTTCTGAGATTTCAAGCGCGTATGCATATATATAATTATTATATATTTTAGATACTGTGTATATAATAATTACATAATTGTACACAATATATATATGTATATATAACAATATGTACTTATATATAAGTATATGTATATATAATAATTATGTATATAGTACATAATATATATGCACACAGACATACACGTACATAAAAAAATTATAAAAAAAACCTGTGAGGCTGTAAATTATATTTTACATTTTCTACATCGAGATGGATCGGTAGAGTGAAAGTGCCTTTTACCAAACTAAGCGCAGGCCTGAATTCGTAGAGCGACGGTCGACGAACTTAAGAAATATTGAATATTATTATTCATCGTTATTCCTAAATTTTGCGGAATCATCTCGATTCGATTGTAAAATTAATGAGATTAATTATTCAACTTGTTCTTTAGTGATCGTCGTTTTCTCGCAAGCGATTCAGACCTCTAGTATATCATATTAGAAATGTTATGACTTTGCGTGTAACATATACAACTTCTACTGCCGTGGTCGTTCGAAGAAGCGCTTACATTCCTTTATACATACTGTCTTCTTTATATTGTAGGTAGTCTAATAAAATTTTTTAATCTTAGGATATGCCGTCGGAGCATTTAAGTTCAATGGAATTATCGTTCTCTTCGAGCGACTTCCAATTCACTGTCCAATAATATTATCCATGGTAGGTTGTAAATAGGGAATTAAATGACGAAATAAATATGTGGACGTGAGAAATATATATTACATAGTCATTTTTATCACACACACTCCGAAAATATCTATGTTTTTCCTTTTATTAATCCTTAGATTATCGTTTCTTATTCGTTATGTAAAATAATCTAAGGATTAAAAGAAATCGATTTCTCTAAATTTCCTAGCTTACATTAAATCGTTTTTAAAAATTGTGCTAAATTCTTATTGTTTTATTGTTTTGTGTATGTATTGACAAATGTAAATGTTCATCAAATGATATTGTTTTTAAATATAATTATTTTTTACAACTTACATTAATTGTGATACTATATTTTGTTAAATATATTGTCTATAGAGATCTTGTTTTTAATGTGGCAAGCTCTCTCTTTAGAATATTGACAAATATTTTTATGATAATTACGATAACATATTACGTGTTATTGTAATGTATTATTTGCGTATCTGATTAAAACAAAAATTATTCGTTATGTATGTGCAACAGATTTTGTATTGTTCTGTATCTTCATTAAAACCAAATGTTTGACTCTATCATATTTGAAGTAGCGCGGAAAATCTATATTAATGTAATCTACAGACCAATTCATTTTGTACTTTTCGACGCAACGTAAAAATTCTTCGTACATTGGAGCAGTCGTATCCAAATCAGCGACAGTGAAAACATATCTTTTCTCGAGAGCGATGTAAATTATTTTTTTCTTTTTTGTGTATAGAAGTTTCATCAATGTGCGGACAAATCCATCCGTGATTTTGTCATCGTATATCACTAGAAATAAAAAAATATGACTATATCACACATTTCTTATATCTATTTTACATTGTTGAAATATACACTTATTAAGTTATTACCGTCCGCAGCCAGTACAATATTTGCACTTTGCAATTTCTCCTCTAACTTTTTTGGCCATTCTAAGTTTAAAAAATTCACTTCCTCGATATGATAACCCGATCTAACGTATGCATAATTCCTCAGAAAATTCCGTTCAATTAGATTTAATATATCACCTATGTTGATATCTGGAATATTTGGACAAATAAGGCCAAAGTTTTCAACAAACGGGTTTCAATTAATATTTGCATTACCGGTGCAAATGACTTCTTTAGCTAAGTAACTCGCTATGATGCTGGTCAAACCAACTCCAGATCCTAATTCTAAAATTATTTGATTTCTAAACAAGTCCTGATGCGACAGAATGTAGTCGGCTAACAAGAGAGCGGCTCTCCACACTTGTAAACCGACTAAATTGAGCTCTGTAGATACGCTATGCTCTGTAAATACAATTTACTGAATATGTTTATACACACGAGAATACACGTTAATTAATTATGTACCTATTAGAATTACTCCTTCTTTGTCTCTATTTACATCTAGATCATCGTCACTGTCATAATTTAGCGTCTCGGCTGTGGATTCTGCCTCAATCATATAAGATGGGCATTTAAAAATGAATTCAGTCACCGCATCTGAAACCAATTGTTGAACGTTAGGACGTGTATCAAGCATTATTTTTATCGTTCAATTATTCGTTAAACATAACTTACTGCCATTGTCAAGCTTTTCAGAGATATGATCATTTTCTGTGTATATTTCCGATGTTACTTTATGCATCGCCGTCTTAACAAAAAGATTACGTTAATCAACGTGTTTCTTTTTAAATTGACATTCAATACATATTACGTAATTATTAATTATCGTATTACGAGTTATTTATAAAGGCCATCATAAAGTTTCATTATTAATTTATCGATGTTTAATAAATATATATACAGAATAGATAACATAATAGCTCATTATATTTCACTCATAACGTACTATTTCGTATTGTAATATAGATATATTAATGATAAAGATTCGGTGAAGCACTACATCTCAAGTCGGGGTTTAACGTGCGTAAATAAATCAGGAATCGACTTCGTGCTATGACGCTCGCCACACGATAATGAGCGTCGTGACTGACCAATATTACAGCCTCGTGACTGCATTTATTTCGGGAATTTGTGTCTTAACACGACAATTATATAATCTATAATCTTATATTATCACGTTGCTCTGTATTATTACTGTATTGAGTAATCTACGTTGAATCTTCAAAGTTAAATTGCGCTGCTTAAAAAAAGATTTTTTTGCTCAATTTACAACAATTTTCTGATAGTTTTATTCAGAGACGTACAAAAGATACGCATTTTATAGTGACAATAAAATGTATCAATAATAATAAATATTTATACAAGAATAATGTTTTGAAAATTAATTTTCATTGCCTTTATACCACATTTTTATTGTCCAGATTTTAAAAAAATTATATTTTCTTGTATCATGACTTATAAGGAGTAATCATTTGATTTTTATAGATACATCAACAGCAAGAAAATAAAGCTCGTCTATAGTAGTTTTCTCTACTGATCGAAAATCTATATTTTCTCTCCTTTTCTTTCAGAAAATATTGATATATTCAGAAAAAAAATATATAACTCATTTTTTATATATAT